ACACACGATTGTTTTTACACTATTTAGTGAAATGGTCCAGATCTGAATGTAAGGCAGAGTTATAACTGGTCTTTATACTAAAAAAACTTTAGGTCACCTGTAAACAAAAGACTTAGAAGCAATTTTTTACGTAGTTTATGAAGAATATAAATAGAATTCCACTAATGTGGGAACCTTGAGGAATACCGGACGTCACTGCTAAATCACAAGAGACTGAGTTATAAATCAAAACACGCTGGGAGCGCTATCTTGAGTAAGAATTGATCCACTTCAGATAGTTACCAGAGATGCCAATTTGTTGTGGTCTTAGTATGATTAAAAGTCAAATAAAATGACAGACTAAAATTCAGTAATTAAACTTGTACAATTAAACAAAGATTATATTTCTGATGGTATATATCTTTAATTTGAAGTAACCAACTAATAAAGGGGCTACAGATGAGATTTAAAGTAGATGAGTGTGATCCATGATGGTATAGATAGAGCCGACCGCAAAATATCGGAGCCTGTATTGAAAGAAAAATGTAGGCTATTTATTAATTGATAAACACAAGATAAATCATGATTTGCTCTGATTTTACACAGACGTCAAAATATTAGAAATCTTCGGTACTATATTTCTGTAAAGAGTGGCAAACAAAGGCAATCGTAGTTATTATTAAAGAAGAGGTTGTTCGCTTTCCTTTGACACCAATTGCGTCAAAATAGAAGCTAGCACGAGTGATCGCGACTAATTAATTAAATTTAAAATGTAGGGGAAGCTACTAAAAATAGACATTTTTTCTGCCAAGAAGGCAATGGAAAACATTTTGAGAATTTGATTACTTAAGTATCCGTTTACAATGATCCAATTAATAAACCAGTGCCGTATTGTTTTATTTGTTCAATTTATTTTACATTTTAAATTTAATTATGTCAAAAACTAATAAGAAAAAATAAAATTATTTCAAGCGTTGAATAGACAATTAAAAACCCTTTCAAATGAGCTATCAGTCGTTCCATGTAGCCCTTTAAAATTATCAGGGGGTAGCTATACTGCACAAAGGGTTGACATTAGTGTAAATTTTTTATTGTAGAAATGTACATCGGCAGAAATAAACATTGACCTACATGAGCACTTTCTGTAATATTTTACCATACAGAAGTTAGTAAGGAGGATAACACTTTATGTGCACACTGTATATAATTCAATAACTGAATAACTGTTTTTGTAAATAAAATACAATTTGTTGAAATCTATCTTTAACTATGATATCATCAAGATCATCATCTCCTAATTAGTATTTTACTAAAAAAATACTTTTATTGACAATCAGTAGCGAATCTAACAGGATAATTTACATGTTTGACGTAAAGAACTCTTCGATAAACATAAGTGTTTATAATAAATAAAAATAAATAAAAGAATTATCGCAAAATGTCATTAGCTAATTCGATAAAGAATTAAAATTATAAAAAATATTTAATTGGAGACAGGAAAACGACTTGTTTACTTTGACTGAGTATTATCATAGAATCTAAATATAGTTTTTATTATGACTTTCTGCAATTAGCAAAAAAAGTACAATTCAAAATTATCTTTATTTCGAAAATGTACGTGATTTGTAAATAACAATAATTTGGTTTGAAATTCAAATAATGTAAAAATATTTGATCCGTTTATTCCTTAAGCCTGTCCATATAAAAATATTTGATCCCTTTACTACTTACGATTATCTATGTAAACATATCTGACCAGTTACCCCTTAAGCCTTCCCATGTAAAAATATTTGGAATCTATCCATCTGCCGATGTACAAATAATATTATGGCTCTTTACCTTTTTGATCCTAATTCAGAGTTCGTTAAAATTCGAGAAAAATAATCCTTATTTCATAATCGCCTAATATCTACATTTATTTCAACAATTATGATCACTTATCACTTTCACTTACAATAAATAATAACCATCCAAATAAAATGCTTTTAAATACGTTTAAAAACTTTAAAAAAATTATTTGACGTGGATATCTAGTAAAATCAGTACCTGTACGCAGTGCATAAAATAAGCTAAAATTCCGAAAATCAATACGGTTCTCGGCTGGAAGAAATTATCATGTAAATCAAAACCGCAATTCGATCGGTACTTTAGTTCTAATGTCATCGGTGCACATACATACATACATAAGTATAGACGACCAGATGATTTTTTTGCGTGTTCGAACTTAGTGTGGTGTCAAACCTAGAAAAACGTGTTAAAAAATTGAGACAACAGTTTTTCGCCGGCTCGAAAACAATAAAATAAGGGTCCTAAGTAATTCCGAAAATTCCTATTGAGTGCAAGAATAATTGCTGTTTCTATTATATTTTGCAAGTCATTGCAATTAGTTCGCAAACTTAAGCCAGTAAGTACACCAACTTAGACCCTAGAGCCTGCAAGACTCTAAATACCTCTAGGCGACAACCAGCAGGCTTTTTGAAGAGCTAATAGGTAGGTCCTATAAGCCTTTGGAGGATGCACAATGTTCCTAGTGAGGCGTAATTGATGTGGGAGGGGCAACCCACCCTCCCACCGTACAGATACAAATACCAAGCAAATTAAGGAAACATTTACTATTTAATAATTAAATAAAAGATACATCATTAATAATTCTTTCATAATCTAGTGAATTAGTTTATGTAACGTAACACAAAACATGTCAAATGTCAGAAATATATTTTTCCCAGCAACAGCTGACATGCAATACTTGCAGCAGCGAACTGTAAAGTGGATCCTAATGTCGCTTTACATTATGCTATTTTGATGTAATGCTAGAAATTTTGACATGACAGCGCATGTGTCTCGACAGTTTTCAATCAGTTGTTACAAGTTGTGTGCAAGTCGAATAGACTCGACCTATTTCCATGCAAGTTTCAAGACATTTTTTTTTTATTATTACACTACCCAACAGATAAATCCAATTACAAGGTAGGAAAACTTACAGATTATAAAAATAGAAATATAAATAAATGGTAACTATACAAAAAAATATATATACGTTTTATTGAAGCAATGCTGCAGGAAAAAATATCAAGTGATGAACCAATTTTATTATAGCAGTTGCATATTCTATACAAAAGTGAGTGATTTTGTATGTTAGTCCTCGCAGTTGGTAAATAGAAAGAGGAATTTACTCTAGACGTAATTATAGGTACCTATTTTCCAGTGATTTTACACAAAATCTGCTGAGATTTATGTAGGGGTATCAGATAAATGGATAAAGACCGTCTTCTTTAAAACTCAAATATTTCAAGAACTTACGCTGTACTCGTTCTAATGTGGTAATGTAAATATCATGTGAGGGACACCATATGACAGAGGCATATTCTAGTTTAGAGCGCACATAAGAATAATATAATAGTAACAGCGTATCAATATCTTCAAAGGTCTTGGTATTTCTGATGACAAATACCAACATTTTAAATGCTTCATTGAAAATTCTACTAACATATGAACTAAAAGAAAGTTTACTATCAAATGTTACACCACGGTCCTTGAACTCAGAGGCTCTGGAAACAAATATATCAGAAATTTCGTAATCATAATAAATAACATTGTGTTTAAGAGAAAATTAAACGATGCAGCATTTAATTGTATATTGTTCTCAACACACCAGGTATGCACTCGATCAAGTGCTAGCTGCAAAGTGTTGCAGTCATCTGGTGATTTGATAGCACCATACAATTTCATGTCATCGGCATACAGAAGGCAATTAACATCCAAATCGTTTACAATGTCATTTATAAATACGTTAAAGAGTAGTGGACCCAAGACAGAACCTTGGGGTATACCTGATGTAGCAACGTAGCTTCTTGAAGTATGACTGTGGCATTCAACATACTCAGATCGGTTTAGTAGATAGGTCTTAAAAAAGTTATCAAATTTTGTGAAAATCCAAATGATTCTAACTTATGTACCAATAGATTGTGATCAATACGATCGAAAGGTTTTGTGAATTCGGTGTATATTATTACATCGACCTGTGTGTTATTGTCGAGACCATGAGAAATTTTTTGAGTAATACAAAATCAATTTGTTTTGGTTGACCGTCCCATGAAAAAACCATGCTGCTTCTCAGAAATCTGATTTTTCACTTGTTCGAAGATAGCAGAGTATAAATATATTTCAAACGCTTTAGATATGTTATTAATGATAGTTATTGGCCTATAATTTTCTAATAGTTTTTTATCATCCTTTTTAAATATTGGTATTACTTTAGCGTTTCGTAAGCATTCAGGGAAGTAATTATTTTAAGACACAAATTGAATAATATTGCAAGCGGAGCTGCTAAGGCAGATGCACAATCGTGAAGAAGGAAAGCTGAAATGAGATCGGGTCCCATTATATGCTTTGGTTTAATTTTTATGAGACTGTTTTTCACATGAGCCACAGAAAAGAAGTTAATTTTATTTGGTGATAAAGGGAGTACTAGCCAATATCTGTGTTACCAACTGTAAAACTAAAAATCTACAAAGTTGTAATAAGACAGCGTTACTTTGCAATAACTATTATCGTACGATATTCAACATTTCTTAGCCTCGTGAATTTTAGTTATCGCTATATATCTGAAGAGAGCATCACCATCTAATATTTGAAAGTCGCCATCATCAATAGCCTCTGTACCTTCTCGAGCTCCAAAACATTCCAATTGTTTAATTTGAAACAGCTCCTTTATGTTAGATTTGAGTAGCGATAGCAGTGAATTTAGATAGGAAGGAAAAACTAAAAGACTGCTTACATTCGCTTCCTAAACAAAAAAATTAATTCTGTTTTTCACGTGGCTCTTATTTCTTTAAAATTAAAAAAAGATAACAAAAAATTAATTAATATAAACAATGTGTAAATCCAGCTCACAAAATGAATGACTAAAGCATATTTAATAAATTTAAATTGACTTTCAAAATAAATAAACCTAACAGTAACAATAAGTAGAAATATAATTTCTACTGAGATATTTTTTTTAATGACATTTAATAACTTACCGCTGTTTTTTACAGTCTCAACACTGAACTGGTAATTAGAGATATCAGATGAGAAATTAATTTTAATGAAAAGGTTCGAATCATCGAGAGCCAGCCATATCTCCACCTAGAGAAATTTCCCTCTCTAAGCATATTGTTATCGTCGATAATAAAATTCCAAATTAATCAAATACTATTTTATACAGGATGTCACACAATTAAAATAACATTTTTAAATTAAATTTTAAAATGTTACAAAATTTGCAATGAGCTATAGCTATAGTAATTTAATTTGCAAAACGTAGTACAGGTTCAAGAGGTAGACATTTTATTAATACCTGATTCTTCAATGCTTATTTGTAGTTAAAAAGAAAATTTTAATACATCTGATTGGCCTATTACAAGTTTTCGTTTAGATTTAATTATGTTTCCATGGTTTTTACTGTGATAAACCTTTTCTTTTGACAGATAAGTCAGACTTTATTTATTCATAGCCGTATCGTATGTATTTTAGTTAATTCGGAATTTTGTATTAGTATAATGTATTATAATTTTCCAGCTATATTAGAATGGTGAGTACATTAGAAAATAATACAAGCACAAGTACGCGTAAAGGACCTAGTGGATATAAAGCACTATCTTTCGAGGAAAAAACATCGTACTTAATGGATTTAATAATCTTTGAAAAGACTCTTGTTTCACTTTCTGTTGATGAAATAGCCAGTAAATGTGAGACCTATACTGGAGTATCTAAGCGGACAGTGTATAAAATTTGGAAGATATAGTTATTAGTGGAGTCTCACATCCAAAAAAGCCCCCAGGAAGAAACAAGACCTTTATTGAAACTTGGGTAACGAATTTAATAAGGCAAAGGGTACATTCTTTTTTCCTTCGAAATAGAATTCCAACACTTAAATAATTACACTCAGAAATAGAAAATAGTCCCACTCTTTCAAATATATCATATTTTCATCTTAAAAAAATATTACATGAATAAAATTTTCGTTACAAATAACATGGCAGAAACAGCTTTTTAACAGAGAAAACATAATTATTTAAGGAAAATAGCGGACGTAACTAATCAGCATAAACAGGTATTTTATTTAGATGAAACATGGGTCAATGCTGGACATACAGTAACAAAAATTTGGCAAGATACCTCCTTCAAAACTAGAAAAACAAACTTTTATGGAAGGGGTCTCTTGTAGATTAAAAAATCCAACAGGAAAAGGAAATCATTTAATAATAACCCACATGGTTTATTAATGTTCGAGACAAAGAAAAAGACTACCATGAAGAAATGGATGACCCTATGTTAGAAAATTGATTTCATAATATCATAAAAAAAATCAAGCCGACTCCGTAATGTTTCGAACAATGCATCCTGTCACAGTCGATTTAATGGAGTACAACAAAATGGAATAAAGAAGAAGATATTTCAAAATGGCTTCATTATAAAAATATTATCAGTATCACCCTTATCCTTCTGAAGCGTGGCGTCACTGTAGTCTGCGGCGGTTTATAGTACCACAATTTGAAGGTCCTACTACTTTCCTATTCACCAATTCACTCATTCATTCACCGTCATTAATTCCACTTCGTTGATGGTTAAACGCTAATCGGTTAAGTCCTATGGTGATACGGTCCATGGTGGAGTGGACGTCTATTTTGAACAAAATTATCAATATATTGGCACTAATGATTGGACAGCATTTTTCTGTTGGTGACACTGTACCTACTCCATTTGAATTGCACCAGAATTGCACAAATGTAAAACGATTGTGCAATAAAATGCAACGTCTTGTATTGCATCAAAATTACCTAATGCTACTATTAGATCTTTTTATCTTTCACAATAATTTATAATACCTAATTTTTATATATGAATATTTTTTTATTCAAGGTTGGTTTTAAGTAAGGATAGCATAGTAATAAGTTCTATTAAATTGTATATTATTTTGATTTCTTTCAAGAGGACGTCAACATTGTACCTCGTATCTGTCACCCTTTTAAACTGGTGGATCCTGTATCGTCAGCCACTTTTGTCTAAATTTTATCTAAACCAAACCGGGCTAGTCCGTTCTTCGCTGAGCTTTTTACGTGCTTTGCTTTTACAGTAGAAAACAGCGAGTCAGCGAAAGCACGTAGAAAATTTCAAGTCAAAATACTTGCCTCAAACATTGTGCGTATAATTCGAGTTAATGCGCACATTTCACCGAAGAATATTCGCAGTATTTTAAACAAACGAGACGCGTGCTAACCATAATATTATTATCATTCAGAGTTTGTTTATATCCATTATAGTAAATTCCTATTTTATTTATTCGTAGTCTCATTTTGAAAACGGTTGTTGTATGTAGTAAAAACATCAAGTCGTGCAGAAGTTTGAACATTTTAATCGATAACGATAACCCAAATTGAATGTAAAAATAATCGAGCATGTTTTATGTTAGTGAAATATTTCGGTGGCAACATAAAGTTTTAATTAGACACATTTGATAGACATAGACGATAAGCAAAATAGTTTCAAAATAAAAATGAAATAATTGTAAGACTAATTGCGCACAAAGTTATTTAAAACACACTGCCAGGGTAAGTTTTCATTTAAATAAATTAGTAATGTAATTACAATAATTTATTATTAAATAAATCTTCAATTCGGTTACGTTTGACTTTACGGACACACGATTTTCAAATAATTTTTTGTACTATTAGAAAGTAGGACAGTTACATATTATGAAAATAAAAAATGGGTAAAGTAAGAAATTTAACATTAAAATCTCAAAAATTGGGCTTTTTTTTAAACAAATATTTTAAGGTATTTGTACAGCCTTGCAAAGTATTTTAATATATGTCTTCTAATTTTTAACTTCATAGTAAATTAGGTTCTGGTGAAGGATCCTGAGGTGCGAATTTCATAATTTTAGCACTAATATATTGAAGTAACTTTTTATAATATTTTAACTGAAATTAAATATGGAAGAATAAGTTTAATTTGCTATTTTCATTAATATTATAATAAAATGCAATATTTTGACTGACTTAACTTTTCGTCATTTCCTTCCATAAAACTTAAAGTGATTCATGAAATTGTCAGTTCTTGACACATATATGGTCCTCGAGTTTGCAACGTTGCCATACTATATTGATTTTTATCACTGTCTGATAATTTCCAAGTTTAAGATTTTTGTTTGAATGAGATGAAAATATAATTATTGGTTAGAAGTGAATTACAAAGCAAATATATTATTAATCATTACTTTGTTGTGATTGTGTTTGTTAAAAGTTCACGCACAACCCACTATGACTCCAGGCCGTACAGCGTAGCCGAGAGATCAGAGCGAAGCCAGAGTATGTTTAAAAAAAGTTTACGGAAGGTGAACTTGGCTCCCGAAGTGAAAACATTTGTAGTAATCACAGCCATCCTTTTAATTTGAGCTATGTCCAGGCTGTTGGAGTCTATGACGCTCGGCGTAGCCAGGTATGGGTTGATATTTTCTGTACCAAAATTCGTTGTTTCGCCTTGTTGTTGTATATTTTCTTCTTCTGATTCTATATCACTTAGTTTTCCATGGGAATTTAGCGCTACATTATTAGATGCACGTGATGAAGATACGTTCGTTAAAAGTCGGGAGCCAGGTTCATGGGGTGGCCAGAAGCTAGTACCTGCTATAGCTATAGGAGGAAGCGGTATTCGTAGTAAATACTCCTTGGCTATAGATTCGTAAATGATAATACGAAAATATAATGTGTTATAACGGTTGGAACCGTTATTCGTTATTTTGACACATTCACCTCTACTCAAATGTCATTTGTCGACTTCTTCTTTTTTTATTCGCCTTGTGAGATTTATTTTTAATTTGGATGTCAACGAATCAAGTTGATTTGAATTTTAATCCGATGTACTAATTGATTTTTAATATTCTTATAATCCGTCTGATTTTATAAGGTAAGTTTTAATACTGATATATTGTTGAATATATATATTTTATACAAGAAATGTCAAATTTTAAACATAACCTCAACAATGTGTAACACATTTTGGTTTTATATAAAATTATATATTATTTTGTTTGGAATAAGATATTATGCTTTACTATGTTTAAATATGTTAAATAATATTTTTCCTTTTCATATTAATTTTAGTCTCTGTGAAATTATTCATTTAATAGTTTTAAATTGTTCATTTAATAGTTAAAAGCATTTTGTCTGAGTCCTGTTCAAATTTCCTATTGCCTGTCATAACATTTCCCTTTCTTTTTAGCATGGCTATATCTAGACAGTTTATTTGGATTTATATCTAGACGGTTTATGTGGATTTATATGTAGAAGTTTTGAATTCCTTTTAAGACAGTTTATTTGGATTTATATCTAGACGTTTTGAATTCCTATCAAGAAGTTTTATGGTTTTTATACCTAGAAGTTTGGTACAATTTGAAAACCGTAGTTTGGTTCATCTATAGAAGATCTACACGTTCGAGTTTAAGTTAGAATACCAAATTTCACGATATTGTTCAAGTCGCAGAATTACGAATAAGGATACCGAATCCCTTTGAAGTTGCCTGAAGATATACCATGCAATAACATTCCTTATATTACCTTCTTTTAACTAAAGAAAAGGGCTTTAAAATAAATCATCTTAAATTTGAATTTAGTAAAACTATGTGAATTAGAATTTGCTACTACCTTATCTAAAACTTGGTTTAACTATAAATTGTTAGTGGTTAGTGATTTTCTATATTTTTATCACTAATCTAAAGTCAAGAATAGTAAGTTTTAAATATAGTGGTGCCCAACTTCTTTTATTCGAGTTATTTAATAACCCAACCCACGCCCCCAATCAACTGAGCTTAAACACATTATAACAAATAGATACAATATCAAGTATCACGTTACAACTTTTCATTTCAATTTGAAATGTGTCCAGACCGTTGGAGTCTATGCCGGTCGGCCTAACCAGGTATGGGTTGATATTTTCTGTTGGCGGCGAAGCCGCCACTCTATGAAAATTCGTTGTTTCGCCTTTTTGTTGTATATTTTCTTCTTCTGATTCTATATCACTGTTAGTTTTCCATGGGAATTTAGCGCTACATTATTAGATGCACGTGATGGAGACACGTTCGTTAAAGGTCTGGCCAGACGCTAGTACCTGCTATGGATCCAGGAGAAGGTGGTATTCGTAATAATACACTCCATGTTTACGCATGCGCAGATGATAATACGAGAATATAATGTTATGTGATACGTTTCATTTCAATTTGAGCTGTGTCCACCCCGATGGAGTCTATGTCGATCGGCGCCACCCCACACGAAGTCGTTGTTTCGTTTTCTTGTTGTATATTCAGAAGCCGGTATGCGCATGGAATGTGTTACTATAAATACCGCTTTGTAGCTCCAGGCCGTATGTGTCCAGGCCAGACCGTACAGTAGGGTTGCCACCTTTTTGAAAAGTGAGAAAAGGAAAAGGGCTACGATGATGACAGGGGCCCTGGTATACGAAAAGCAAAAAATTATAGTAAACATAAAAAAAAACAAAAAAATTGGTCGTCAATCTGAACGAAAGAAATCATCCTCCTCCTCTTCATACCGAGCTTCAAAAAAAAACGGAAGAAAAAATCCTCGTCTTGCCATTTGTCGTAAAAGAGAACATTTGCCGTAAAAAGAACATTTTAAGCTTTAAAAAGTCACAAGGACATTTTGCTTCAAAAATGGACTGTCATTTCCAAAAAAGGACAGGTGGCAACCCTACCGTACGGCATAGCCGAGAGAACAGAGTGAAAGAAAGTTTTAAAAAGTTGTCTTTAGGTATTACATGTTATGTGATTTAAGTAATTTCACTTTTTAATTTTGTATGTAATTCTTTTGAGGTGCATTTTTAAAATTAATTTGGTTGATATATTAATTTTTTCATTATATATACGATTATATTACCGTACTTATTTTTTTGGAGCAAACGAAAAATGTATAATTTTTGATTACTTCTTTTTTATATATATCGTAATTTATAAATTTTAAATAATCCCTAAACTTATAACAACTTGGCAACGTTTGTTATTTTAAGACAGAAACTGTCAGAGTAATTGTTTTGTGATTATAACCTGTAAAATTGGGATTTTTAATTAAATTTTTTTTGAAAAATGCTGCTTCATCAATAATTTTTTTTTTTTTCGAAAATTTAATATAGAAACTAGTTACTTTTGAGTGTTTAAAAATTTTTTTTGTGACTTTCGCACCTCAGGACCCTTCACCGGGCTCGTAAATTATAATATTATTTATTTAAATTTGTATACAGATTAATTTTGTTTTGTTAAAATAACAATCTATATCAAACATCGCTCCCTGACCCCTAACACAGAGCCTAACGCAGGTCAAAGAATACCATCTATTCATATTATCAGATCAAATAAAAATTAAAGAGTTTTTGACTTTCGCCTACATCAGTGCTAATTGTCTTTTTGAAGACAAACGGAACTTTGTGGTTTGGTAATACATGTTCAGGAAATGTTTCCTTTTGTCATGTACTATCAAGTCTGTTTTTTAATAAATAAGAAATTTTTACTTAAAAAGAATCAGTTATTGTAACAGTAATCTTAGCAACGCCGCTCAGTATTATGAAAAGTAGTCAAATTAAGAAGTATATAATTAAAATATACAATTAATAATGTTTTTTTTTTATATATTTCCTTTTTGAAAAGGACAGTCCTTTTTCAAACAAGTTATCCTTGTTATTTTTTAAACCTTAACATTTCCCTTTTAAAAACTATATTTCAATAAGTACCACTACTTTTCGAGATTAACTTATTCGCAGCACCACCGGCGCGGCCTACGCGACAGCAGAAGCAATTACTCAATTTCAGTGCCGTTTTTCCGAACGCACTTCATCTTTCTACATATGTACGTTTTTCCGAAAACACTTCATCAATCTACGTACAGCTGTCAAAAAAAGTTTGGTTAAGCGGCTAAAATCGTGTTTAAAGATTATAATATCTAAAATATATCGGTTATTCTGCGGTTTTAATGTTATTGATTGAGGTGATGCAGATTTCAGACTGTTATCAAGAGATTGAAAACAAAAAAGTTTAAGCACATCAAATGTTTTTTTCGTTTATTTAATTATTATTAGATGTACATACTAGTTCAGCATTTTTTTGGCTACCAAATGGCGCGACGAAAGAAATCGGTGCCCCACAGAACTAATTCGCTTAGAGCTAATAATACGAGGATGTATCAGAAAATAACGAGACTGGTGCTATAGTATAACAACGAAACATTTATTTAAAAAAATTCAACAACTATCCTTCGAAGTACTCTCCATTCTGTTGAATACACTTATTCGATCGCTTTATCCACTTATCATAAACTTCTGAGAAACCATTTTTTGATAGTCTGTTTAGTATACCCATCATAGCGTTGTTGAGCTCTAAATCCGACTCAAATCTTCTACCTCTCAATTCTTTTTTGACTTCAGGAAACAAATGGAAGTCACATGGAGCAAGGTCAGGAGAGTAGGGGGGATGAACCATAATTTCAACCCCTAATTCTTCAATTGTTCGTTGACAAATCATTGATCTATGAGCCGGAGCATTGTCGTG